AAAAAAAAAATATATATATATATATATATATATATATATATATTGTATCTGTAGTGTCTTAGAACATATCCCATAAGAATGTCTTTTAAAAATGGCCTGAAATTTACCATTCTCATTTATGTTATGTTTTAGCTTATAGTAATTTTAGTGACATCTTAAGAATTTAGTTGAACAATTTTAAACTTTGCCATTAAAAACTGACCCATAATTCAAGGTTGCTAATCATTTGTCTTATCTGTTCAGGCTGCTATAATAAAAATACCTTATACTGGGCAATTTATAAATAGCAGGGGGCTGGGGATGTGGCTCAAGCGGTAGCGCGCTCGCCTGGCATGCGTGCAGCCCGGGTTCGATCCTTAGCACCACATACAAACAAAGATGTTGTGTCGACCGAAAACTAAAAAATAAATATTAAAAAAATTCTCTCATAAACTTCTAAATTTAGCATAATCTTAACACTCATTTTTTAAATTGGAGACAGTATGAAATGATGGTTGATATGTGATTGTATCTTATTATCATAACAGCTGAAAATTTTTTATTATGGGCACATAAATAATCTTTACAGATTTCAAGGAATATGAAATAAAGGGAGAGTTACATAAGAAAAAAAAATTCTCTCTCTCTCTCTCTTAAAAAAAATATAAATAGCAGAAACTTATTGCTCTCAATTCTGGAGGCTGCAAGTTTAAGATCCAGTGGCCAGTAGATATGAACCTGATTTTCATAAATGGTTCCTTCTGTGTGTCCTCACATAGCAGAAGGGGAAGGTAGCTCTCTAGGCCTTCTTTTTAAGAGCATTAATGCCATTCTGGGAAGGCTTAATCACTCACCAAAAGCTCCACCTTCTAACATCATCACCTTGGTGTTTAGCTTTCAACATATGAATTTTGGGGGACACAAGACTATGCCTCCACTTGTTTTTGTTTTATAACATCAAGGATGTCATCCATTTTATTTTACTACATTTATAGTGACATTTACATGAAGCTGATGTTGCTCTTTTTCTACCAATTTAAAATTTTGAGTCAGAAGATTGGGAGCCCTAGAATTAAGATGCTGCCCATTTTAAGATGCACAATTATTTTATTTACCACTATCTCAGTTATCTGTTGGTATTCAACAGTTTCAAATGTGGTTTTAAAGCAATTCATTGGTTTGTGATTTTGTTATTTAAGCTAGACTTAGCTGGAAGGTTTTTTTTTTTTTTTTTGTATGTGTGTGTGTTTAATTGTTGTGTTTTAAATGCTTTTGCCTAGAGTCAGTCATGTGGCTCAGTCATCTGATTGCTTCACTGGATAGTTTAAGATGTACTCACTCAAGTGCCTACTCATTATCTGGAGGCATCAGTGGGGGCAGATTGATTTTCTTTCATGTGGCCTCTTTACTGGGAATAGCCTGGGCTTTTTAGATAATAGTAGTAGTGTTCCAAGAAGACAAGAGCTGAAACTATAAGACTTCTTGAGTCATATGTCACTTCTGCTACATTTTGTTAGTGAAAAAAAAAGCACAAGGTCATCTCAGATTTAAAAAGGAAGGGTAAGATTAGACTCCACTTCTGGAAGGGAGTGCTGTGCCCGATCTGATAGAGATCTGTGAACTGAAAAGA